GGTAGGAAACAAGTAGATATTTTTCCCCACTGAGTAGCTTATAAAAAACTTGCCTTGAACATGTGCCCACTTGTGTGCATTCATGTTCTCATGCACTCTTACCATCACTCTTTTCAACACCAATCTCTCAGAGAGACTCCAAGTCTTATGCTTAGTCTTATGACAATAATTGTTCTTGAGAAAACTGTAGCCCCAGAGTGGAACCAAAAGGCTCAGAAACGCAGAGGGAAAAAAGAGTTATTGGACTTGTTTCAAGCGTTGAGTTTCTAAATAGCTTTTGAGGTGTTTTTTTTCCTTGAGTTTTTAAGGACTTAATGCAAGAAATATTCAATATGATGCATAATACTTAGCCTAAATCAAATAACAGACAAAAATGCACAATAAATAATTCGGAGAGCAGGACATGAGCTTGTATTTTTGGAGTCCTTTCCTTGTGCCTTGGTGACAGGACCAGTCACTTCCTTTGCATAGCAAACACATAATAATTTGGTCTAGGCTCTTTTGTCCTAAGCCACACAGGTAGGAAGGAAAACCAAAACTTTTCCATGAAGGAGCCTGCTGTGCACCCACATTTTTCTGTTGTTCCTTTAAAACATCTAAGAGTAAAGGCTATATGCAGGCCTTGAATCAGAAATGCAAATATCTCAAGTGAGCCTCGCAAAGTTAAAAGGTTCATTTAAATTGCAATCCTGTACTTGGTTTGGAATAGTTATTTACTGTTTCATACAACAGTAAATGGAAGGGAAAGTAAACCATGGCATAACAGCAGAATACTTTTTAAATCTTCTGTGCAGTGTCTGTAGGAATTGTCTTGGTAAGTCTCTTCCCTTCTTCTCAGATCCTCTAACCAAACTAAAACTTGTGGGTGGATAGGTAGCAAGAGGTGGTAAAAGACAGACAGAAATAGCTCTCAACATGAGAAAGGGCCATCATGGCCATGGACACCCATGGGCAGTAAGAGCAGTCAGAGGTGCCCATGGAACTGGCCAGGTGCTACTGCAGGAAATACCTTGGAATAACTTGTTCCCTGGGACATGCAACAGTGATGGTGCTGACCACAAAACACTCTATAAAGAGCTTTATAGTACCCTACAAATCGCGCCCAGATAAAATTTGTGTTTTGAATTACACTGGCAAGCATCTGCAGATTAGTAATTTCAGATGTTTCCAGTTTGTTCACACCCACATCTTTGCTAGTGGAAGAGTGTAGTTGAGGGCTTCCAGGCTTATGGCACTTCTTTTAAGCTTCTTTTTCTAAGGTGAAGAGAGACTTCATGCACATGCAGTGCAGAGATGAAAACTCAAGGGAGCTGCTAAAAGACTATGATTTATTAAGGACTTAATGCCAGATACTTCATACCACTATGTGCTGAAATGACTCCTTGTCACCCCTTTTCTATTTTTACTCTCTTTCCCTTTTCCTGTACTCACTTGCCATAGAATTTGAATTACCGTCTTCTGTAGCAAATACCAACCATTTGGGTTACATAATCAATTAATTTGCAATTTAGAATATAAGCTTTAACTTTCCAAAATGCATGCACTGCATTTTTCCACAGGAATGGGAGAAGAAAATATTTGTGTTTGCTAAATTAATGCATCTTACTTTTTATATCATGCACCAATATTTGTATCTCTGTACATAACTGATGCTATTTTGAATAGCATCACTGATGTACAGAGGTACACAATCCTCCTCCATTTTGTTCTTCCCATTAAGGATCTCAAGCAATCTGTTAAAATAGGTGGTCTGCTGATGAAAACCTCCAGCATAAAGCAAAGCACAAAAGGTAGTCAGTAAAAAACCAAGCCAAAACAAAACCAAGAAACTCCAAAAATCAAGGAATATCCCTAACTGGGGTCTAGGCATTGAATGATGCGTTAGCAGTTTCCAGGAAAGCTGATGATCATTGTAAACCTTTAACTTTCTGGTTCCTTAATTATATATATATAGTGAAAAGAACACAGAAGCAGCTATATAAAATCATTGCCTAGGAAGAATTACTGCTTTTGTGCCAAAAAGCCAGCGGGCCCAAAGAGGTGGGTAATTGCCCTGTGCACCTCAGCTGAAGTGAGGGAAGGTGTGAATACCCACTGTGCTCTCTGCTGCCTTTCCTCTGTGCCAAAGATCCAAACTGAGTGCATCTCTTAAGTCTCTGTGGAAACTTAAGTGGTGTGGGACAGGAAAGACATAGTTGATTTGTTTCAAATATTGATGCCCACTGGCCTGCCCACGTGTATCTGGAGAGTCCTTTGTGGCAAAGTGGTGCATGGGTATTACAAAAGGAGTCAAAGAAAATCAGCTGAAATCTAGCAAAGGTTGAGCAAGAAGGGAAACAGTGACCATGAGTTCCCTGCTCTCTACCTCACTTGGAGAAGAAATGTTGGGCAGCCAGGACCTGGGAGAACATCCATTCAACCACAGCCCCAAATCTTCAAATGTACCTTAGGCCCTAAGCCTATTTTTTGTGGGTTTTGTGTGTTTTGCTGTTTTGTAGGTATTTTCTAAGATGTTGAAAAGACCAAGACTATGGTTCCTACTTGCCTCAAACACAAGACCAGCACTCTGGCTCTTCGTTTTGCATTTTCTTTTTGCATTTTTGTGCACGAAAAGGAGGTTTAATAATGTTTTCCATTCTTTCTTTGGAGAGACTTAGGGAAAAGTGCTACGGAGAAACAGTGGTATTACAGATAAACTTCCAGATTATCCACAGCTAGAGTTGACAAATAGCACACAAGTGGAACCATAGCAAGGACTGGAGTAAGGCACAATCAGGGAAAGATAGAGAAGCTCCTGGAGTTTAATGCTGGAGTAGGAAGAGATACTGAGAGCCGTGATCACCAACAGTAATTAAATGTCAAGGACTGTGGAAGGATCTCTATGGATCTTGCAAGGTATAACAAACAAGGACTAATTGTTAAGTAGGATGATTCACTCTTAAAATTATTAATCATTCTATGAATTTTGATGAGGATGAACATATATAAAGCATTAATTGCTATGTGATGGTTAATATATCCTCATGTTGGGAGAGTCCTAATTAAAAAAAAAAAATGATATTCGCTTTAGCAAGATTCATCCCAGGATATAATACTATTAAGTATGAGAATAGGCATTAAAATTCTGCCTGCAAAAAGCATGCTAGATAGTTTGGGTCCTGGATGAATTTGATCTCTCAGTTGATGGTATTTATCTGCAAGTGTTTACCATAAAAATGGTTTTATAAGGGACCTGGTTTGTAGCCTACAAATACTCTGGTAATGGTGAAGGGAACAGAAATGTTTCTGTTGTCTATAATATGAGGATTTGGGGCCTTGAGATCAGCAATTCAAAATTATTGAACAGTTTATATAGTGTGATGCTCCAGTAACATCTTACTGTCAACATTTCTTTCTACCTGTAAAGCTCTCCTTGCAAAGTTTGTTGCAACAAGTATTTTTCTCTAGTCTTGTTGTTATTAAGAACTTAAGTAAGGAAGCATAACTCCCTATAGCAGAGACTCAGTAGCGTGCCTTGGTCTGTTCTGTAGTGTAACACATACGATCATCATTCTTTTCCCTGCCTTGGCAGTGGCACTATTAAAAACCTGTCCTGGATAGTAAAAACTAAATCTGTTGCCCCACTCAGGACTGAGCTCTTACAAAATGTGAGCCACAAGAGACAAAATCTTTCTAAAGTCTTGACCACAGCAGTGAACGTAAAAACTGTCTTTTAGAGTGGAGTGATCTTATTTGTATGGTGCAGTTTGGAAGTGCTGTAGTTCCAAGAGTATCACTAAGAGGTTACGTAGGATGAAAAGCCCATAGGTTAGCAGCAGTGAAGGCTTCATCCATGTGGTAATATGAGGGGAACTTTATTCCAGAAGCACCTCTGCCTATACCTCTTCTCTAGCCCTCAAAGTCCTCAAATGCCGTCTTTTCTCTCTCTGAGCAGAGAGCTCTTCAATTTCTGCTTCTGATAACGTGGGGGCCACACAAGGATGGTATGAACATTGTTTCTGAAGTATGTGAACTTTTGAAGTGGTATGGTCTGAAATATGAGCTGAAATATGATGTAGAAAGCTTGGAATCAGATAATTCCAAAGCCATCTGAGTAATAAGTTAGCAATAGTGTCAGCTCTAGCTCAACTAGCCCATGAGTTCCCAGATTTGTGCAGTCATCTTGGTACTTCTTTCATCAGTATCCACCTGCATTATAATTTTGAAAACAAACTTGCCATTTGATTCAGGTTTATAGTAAGTTTATTAAAATTCAAAGCCTTCTATTAGTAGCATGTATCAGTTTTAAGATATTTCTATGTACATAGTTCTCTAGGGCGGGGAGTTCCTATGAGTTTGTGAAATACAGATTCCAGCCATGGTTTGTTTTTATTCAAAGAAAAGCAATGGGAAAAGCAAACCAATTGTTTCACGTTTGTTTCACATGAGGGCAAAACTGAAGTAACTTCACAGATGGCATTGGTAGGATAAGGCTGAGCAGGGTTACATTCACTCAGTTACACTGAATTACTCCACATCATCCCTGGGTGAGAATATTCACACACTGTTGTGAACTGAGCTAACAAAAAGTGCAATACTGTGTGTAAAACTAGAAGATTTAAGGATCATCTTCTGAATATGGCACTGATCAGGAGATAGATAGCCTGAAGCATGAAATCAGTTTGTATGGCTTATATAGGTGTGACTGACTAACTTAGACATCACCTTCTTAAAACCAGCACTCAATGCAGAATGTTCTGGTCTCCATCAGCCTGGAGGTCTGCCCTCTCCCAGCTCTGTGGGTGGACATCCTCACTACACTGTGTGAAACTATCAGTCATTCACTGTTAAATGCCATCCAGGTCAGGACAGCAAGGATGAGATGGTAACTACATTCAGCTGTAAATATATATTAGCAAGCATTTCAGAAAATAAATGAATAGAGTTCATCCATAAAATGAAGAAGTCTCCAGGCATTCAACCAGTGATGAATAGATTCTGGTGAGTTTGTGTTTGTTCCAAGATTTTATTGCCACTTAATAAATAGGAAATAAAAGCAGATAGTAAGGATTTCTTTGTTGTTTCATGCAGCACTGATGATGATTCCAGCTGGTTGGCCTTAGATGCTTGGATTATTTGCGTTTGGCAGCACGTCTTTCATTTATTCTCTTTATAGCAGCCTGAACCCATTTCTGATTAGGGCTTACACAGATCTTGATACCTCCTGCAGTGATGAACCTATCAGAAAAAGGAAAGCAAACCAATCAGCCATAAAATTCTAGTCTCTATACACAGGTCTGCTGTTCTTGGTTTATATACAGAACATAAGTGAAAATGTGGTAAAACAATATCAGATGCTGGTGTTTGTAAATGTTAGTAAGAGTGATACCAGTTAGCAATGTCAGTTCCCTGTTCATGGCATAGGTATGTATGTAGCATACCTGGTCATGTACATATATACTGATTTTAGATAACTGAGCATACCTGCTATTCTGGGACTTTATGCTAAATCTTGGTGAGCATTTATCTCCCAGGAACAGATCCCACTTGTGATAAAAATGCATGCATCTGAGCTCAAAGGACCAAACACAGCTCTTGACAAGACTCAGAGTTACTCCATATTCTTTCACCTGATCTTTCCCCCTGACTCAATTCATGCACAGGGCCTCTGACTGCTCTGCCCTTGTTGGGATTTTCCCCCACTCACTGGGCACAAAGATGTGAGCTGGTCAGTGAGCTTCCTGACATTATTTATGAGCAGCACACATCTCTCAGCTCTCTGAGGCCTGCTTGTGTCCCCTCACTCCCTCAGTTGCCATGTGGCATGAAGGAACCGGAAGGGTGACCTGGACTAGCCAGATTTAGTGAGTTGGGCCAGCAGAATTGTGCTCTGCTGCCCCTTCCCTAGTTGATGGTTTTGTGTTTGCATAAGGAAGTCTGAAGGGTGCATGAGATACTTACATGATGGCATCTGTTGGTACTTGTTGCTTTTCATAGCTCACAAGATTTCGGATGTTCAACTGCTTTGTAGACAGATCTACGCACCTGAATTTGCGCATGGATTGACTGGTAGCACTCCCTAGAAGGGAAAAATAGATAAATTACAAAGGGAATAAATACTTTTATTGATATTTAGCCATAATTGCTTAATAAGCTCAGAATTCCAAAAGATTCCTAGTGATGGTTAGACCATGAGAGTCTCATGATGTACAGCCACAATACCAGTTATACCAGAGAGCCTAAGCTATTTTTTGTGATGCATCCTACCGTCTCTAAAGTGTTGTCTATCCCTATGGAGTCACTGCTTCCATAGCAGTAGAAGAGTTTGACATCATTCATAATCAGGTCTACATCATCTGCAGGTACACATATGGAGGTAACATTTAGAACTGGCATTTTATTGGGTGGATTTCCATATGTCTTTTGAATATGGATTAGAAATTCCTCCTATTTTCCAAATGAAGAAAAGGAAAGTGAGCCTACTTCTCTCACATTCAATTGTAGTATTAACAAAAATTGTTAACAGAAAGGGAGAGATACCTGCCAGAAGAATAAGTGCTTATATCCTCTGGCTATAACTCTGATTTCATAGGCGGTGGGGTGCTTCTTAATCCTTGCATTCCTCCAAGATATTGATACAATTCAGAGAAATGTAGTGGTGATTAAGAAAGAGGATCACAATATTGGTATAAAATTTTCTGGGCACTTGTTATCTTACATGATGATAAGTAAAAATGGGAGCTCACTTAAATACAATGGAGTTTACATTAGTGTTAGTCTCCATTGCCAGTTCCTGGTTTTCTCCTGTTCATGGAAGACAGGTTTGGGAAAGCATGCAGGGGACAAAAAGTACACTGCTCTACTCTGTGGTTTGTTTATAAAGAATTTGAAGAGGTACTGGCTTGCAAAAAGTCCAAGATTTGTTGTGGTGCACCTTGCTAAATGTAAAACCTGCTGCACACAGTCTCGCCATTGAAATAATTGGAGTAGCTGAGACAAATGCACAGCAGTCTTTGGAGAAGGTGTGAGATAGCCAGTGCACAGGTACTGGCAGATCTGCTAATTCCTGAGATTTTGTTTGCCTGAAGGAATCTCCCTTCTGATCTTGCTTTAGTAATGAGTAACACAATGTACATTTTTTTATGTTTCATGACACATTTCTTACTGCCTCAGACTGGTTTTCAAAATGTGACATTAAAAGAGCTCAAAGACAGTCAAGCAATTGTTCCAAGTCCTGGAAATATTTCTTCTGCTACTGCACAACCTTCAGGGAATGGATGCAGGGAATAGCAGCAGAATTTCTCAAGACTGGGAACAAACCCCAACTGCTCTGCACCTAGAACTACCTTATTTCTCAGGTGTATTTGTTTTGTTTTGTTTTGTTTTTCTCCATTCTTTCTAATCCTTTTTTCTGTCCCTTGTAGACTATCCCATTGTGCTTTTATCAAACTTGGTGATACTTAGGGCCAAGTACACAGCCTGGACAATGACATTGTCTGTGATATGAAGCTACTGTTGCCAGGAGGAAGAGCAGTGTCACCAATGAAAATAGAAGGATGTAGTGGGATGTGGCTGCAGAGGCAGTGGGTGGGCATGAAGGCTGTGTAGCCTCATAGACGTGGGAATGCTTAGCAGGCCACAGTTTGGATTTGGTGTGGTTTTGTGAGGATACCTTTTCTCTGTGTTTCTGAGTGCATATTTGTGGATTTGCATATAGCTTGCATATCAGTGGTTTGTGTGAAATCTACTTGTGATGAGATGATATTTGTAATGGGAATATGTTCATGTTTCTCCACGATCCATGGAGCCTAATCCAAAATTTACTGACCTAACCAGCCCTGCAGACAAACTTATTTAAAGCATAGCCAATAAACATGGCTCATCTCAGGGTTCATAACTGGTTTGAAAGAAGATGTTCAATTGTATGAATTAGTGAAATGAGAGAAGACATTGTACAAATCTATTACTCCCCTTTTTAGTTATTGTTCTTATTTTCCCTGCCCATACTAAAAGGTTTATCTAGAAACAATTCTATAAAAAATATGGAACTTATAAACAGTGGAGAACTTCTTAAAATGTAGATATTAGAAAGATTAAGACTATATAGTTAGAGGAATACATATAACAATTAATACCATAAAATTAATATAAAAATAATCTATCCGGAAAAAGGAAAATGTACATATTATCCTAGAAGGATTTTTCATGACATGTTGTTAACCTATAGTACACATGTATACATGGTATCAGTGAGACTAAAATACATGGTATATGGCACCAGTGAGAGTAAAAGACATTGTGCCTTCAAGAATTCTTTGATTTTAAGTGGGAAACCATTGCACAGAAAGCCTATAAGGGCTCTCAGGCACAGAATCTCTCCTTGTATCAAAAGAGAAACTGACCACCAGCAGGACATCAGATGAAATCCCCCATGAAGCTGCCTTTCTTGCAGATTTCTTCTGGATGTCTTGTGTGCTTTATCTTATAAATCAGCTGTCTGCAGCAATTAATTTTGCTCATGAGACCACAGGTGCAATGTGGAGCAATTCTCGTCATCCTCTTGAGTTGCAAACTTACCTTTGACTGTGTGCGCAGTGAAGACACCAAGCCAGAAGAGGAGCAGGACTGCTGCGGTGTGGAGCTTCATCGCTGTGGCTTCTGTGTCAAGGCAGAGCAGAAATTGTCTACTGTCAGCCCCCTATCTCAGGGTTTATATATTGTCATTCAGTGGTCAGTTCTTGTGTTCATTTCTATGGTGTCACGGAGGGTCTGACTATAAGTGGAAAATTTGAGTTGGCAGTACTTTTTCTGGTGACAGAACCGCCTCCTGTCCCCCACCAGTCCTTCACAGCCCTTCTGAGAAGGCTTTTCCTGCTCAAACCCACTGTGATTGCACTCACTTCTGTGCTGTGACTTGGGTTTATTTCAAGCTGCAAAAAGTGAGAGCTCTTGTGCAGTAGTGGAAACCTGTAATAAATGTTCCTGTCATTTCACACTTCAGTTCTGAGACCCTTAGCTAAGCCACACTGCAGAGACACAGAGTGACATTGAGAATTACCTTGCTGACCAATGAACCACTGGAAGGGGGAACTGTGAACTAAAGGATGATGGAAACAGGAACACCATGGCTCTTTCCAAGCAGCTGTGGTTGGTTTGTCACGTTAACTTGTAGCTGTGGAGGGGTATCACTATTTCTTATGAGCAGTGGATGTTGTCAGAATGCTTGTGTTTGCTCTGTGACTTGATATGGCCAAAGCTGATATCACTGTGCTGGAAGAAGCAAGATTGAACACACCTTTGCATACAGATCCAGATCCAGCATGCCTCCTGCCAATCAGGCATAACTAAAATGTGATGGTTTCAAAGAAGAATGAGAGTTTGTAAAAAGTTTCTTTGCTTTGGTTTGGATTTTTTTGTGGTATGAACTTTCTAGTGCAAAGAATGAGTCCCAAGAAAGCAACTAGGTAATCAGAGAGGTACAATTTGTAGAAAAGACCAACAAAAAAAAAAATTAATTGCACTTTCATGTAAGCATGCTGCTGATAGCAGGTCTGTGAGCTTGTTACAATTATCCCTCTATCGAAAGCCTTTTTTGGCACAGTGTGCCAGCTCTATCACCCAGATTTAGGTGTCCTTTCTATTGAATGTGGTCTGAATTACTGGACAGGATTGCTAGAAGCCAATGGTTTTGGGCCTGCAAATATTTGTCAGGCCAGTTTTGGACCTCCAGACCACACACAAAGCAGCACCTCAGCTGGCATCTTCTTCCAGAGCCTCACAGCAGAAATCTTCTCATGTGCTGTGAGAAAGGAAGCCCACTCCTCTTAAATTTTTAAGAGTTTTAATGAATGATAAGATTGCAGTTACAAGCCTGGGTGCATGGCAAGGCCAGAGACACACCCACTTCTTCAGTCTGCAGTCTTTTATACTGTTACAGTTGTTTTACTTCCTTGGATGATTTTTCAAGTTTATTTTGGTCTTGTTGACTACAATCTTGCTTCAGATTTTTGCGACATTTGCACAATTCAATAGTTGCAGACACTGGCAGTCTAGGGTCTTCTGATGGTCTTCTGACCCCTCTTTAAACTTGGTACACTTCCTTTTATGGCCTTCTGCTCTCCACTTATTCCATTTTGGATATACATTTTGCAGTAGCAAGGATATCTTCATATACATCTTTCACAAGCCCGCTTACATCTTGTGAAAGCCTTGCTTCCCCATTTACAGTGCCCACAAACAATTAAAAATTTTATCATACTTAAAAAGCAGTTTAAAAGTTACAATAATTAATTACAAACAATTGCAGTTTTATAATTAACGCAAATAAATTGTAGTCAAAGCCAACTATTACATAGCCTTTTACAATGCGTGCCCTCTGCAGCTGTACAGAAGAACCCAGCTAGTTCTGGTATGAATAGGTAAACACCAGCATGCCTGATGCCTGGGCTTGTGAACAGCTGTCAGTGCAAGGACTGGAGAAATCATGAGGGTATCCTGGTTTTGCCTGAGATGGAGTAATTTTCTTCTTATTAGGTGATACTGTTCTGGGTTTTGGATTTAGCATAAGAATAATGTTGATAACACACAGGTATTTCAGCTGTTGCTGAGTAATGATTACCCTGAATCAGGGAGAACTGCTAAATGTAATAGTTTTCTTAATTTTTAACAAGGTCAAGAATTTTTAACTGTAATAATTTGGTATGTACCTTGTGTCATGACAGCAGCCCTGCTGAAGAAATATGCAGCGAGCAGAGTTTTGTCTAGTATCAAGAGTTTACATATCAGGGCAAAGGGTTTGTCGTATTGAATTTTCTCATCCTGTAGTCAGCTTTTAAAAAGAGAGACCAAGATCTTCAGGAATAACTAAATTCCTAAGCACTCCTAGAAATTATTATCTCTAGTGGGTGTTCAGCAGTCCCTTGAAGATGAAATTGTACCATCAGGTCACTTAATCACTTCTGAAGACTAAATGAGGCATTCAGTGACTTTCGGAGGGGACTTAAGAACCTCAGCTTAAACATGGCTGTATCTCAGCTAACTGGTTTTAGGAGGGACTTTACCTCAGGGGATAAATATCTGTTTCTATTATCTATAGAAGCAATTTGTGTATGTGTCGTTTGCAGGACCCAGTAAGCTAGGTGGAATATATGGGACCCTAACGTATTTTGATTTTACATTGTCTCTTAACACTTGGAGTTCTGGTTGAAGAATTACCAGCAAGTGACATCCAGTTGTGATGTCTCCATTATTTTCTTCCCTTGATTTTCATCACTTTTGCTCTGTAGTTTTCATTCTGATTTCATAACTACCTGAAATAGTAGTTTGTGTTTAGTATTTTAATTTATATTGCAATGGGGTAGAAGCAAACAATTTCTCAGTGCTCACATCTCAGCTGAGAGATGATTTCTTGTCTAAATTGATGGCTGCAATCACATTTTAAATAATTACTCTGTTTTGTACTGGTTTTGGCAGAACTCCTTCTTTAGAAATGTATCCCTATTAACAATACTTTCTCTTAATCATAATACAGTTTTTGCTTGTAGACCATCTATTTCCACTACTACACTGCCAGCTTTTTCCTGCCAGGTTTTCCCTAGTCCTGCCATCTTTTCTTGATGTATTGTGTGCTCTTAAATAATAGTCAAAATTCAAATCAATCAAAATCTTTCTTTAGTCATTCAACTGGAAGTATTCAGATATGTAAAATTACACTGGGAAACATTTGGTTTGAAAGGGCCCAGAGATCTTTGCTCTTTCTTTCATTCAGTGTTATCTTGTTTTGGTTTAGTTCAATAAGATTGTTTTGCTTTAGCTATACATACACCCAAGATCTACAGAAGAATATTCATATCCTCATCTTTATAATCCTAGTCCTGTGAGCTTTTTTTGTTTGAGAAATCAATTGTGGGAAGTCAACTAAACTCTGTGTAATGCTATTGCTGCAGAAAAACACAGAGGTGACTGTAGCTCAGTTCTGTGATGGTACACAATACTACACATGCTGAAACAGGAGTCAAATACCTTTGGAACTTTGTAGAATATTCTCAGTCCATGTAGGGATGCCTTCTAGCAGCCTTCCAGTCCCTGAAGGGGGCTTATAGAGAGCTGGAGAGGTACTTTTTACAAGGATATGTAGTTTTGGGACTGGGGGCAATGGCTTCAAACTGAACAAGGGTACTCTTAGATTAGATATTAGAAAGAAATTCTTTACTCAGAGGGTGGTGAGGCACTGGAACACGTTGCCCATAGAAGCTGTGGATGCCCCATCCCTGGAAGGGTACAAGGCCAAGCTGGATGGAGCTTTGAGTGTTCTGGTCTAATGAAAGATGTCCCTGCCCCCAAAGTAGGGGAGGTTGGACTGGATAAAGTCCCTTCCAACGCAGGCCATTCTATAACTGTATGATACGAGTATGCTTTTTCTTCCTTGTTTTGTTCGAATTTTTTGTTATTTCTTTTTCTACTGCCTCAACTGTCACACAAATCAGAAAAAGCAGATTTTGTTTAGTGCTTCTTTTTGTGTGTACCATGTCTGCATGATGAAGGATGGGAACAAAACCTAACTGCATAAGTGTTGTTAGTCTTCAGGAGAAGAATAAAGACAGTTTTGTGAAAAATAGATGACTTTAGCTGAACCATGGATGATGGTCAGTGCCTAAAGCACTGAAATGGATCAGAACCAATATGCTGCTTCTGGGTAAACCTGAGCTTTTCTCAGAAAACTGAAGAAGTTCAGATACTTATGTTTCTCAGTGGGTAACAGTTTTGTTTTGGTACCTCACACTTTGGAGAGAGCCCCTTGGCCAGTCTGTGTGTATTTGGATTCCTTTGCTCCATGAGAGTCATCACAGGGAATATGTTGAAGAGCTAAGATTGTTAGAGGAAAGAGGGAGTTACAGGTACAAGACCATACGTCAGTGACATCTGTATGCTTCAAACATAGCAGTGTGTACAGTTGTTTTTCTTATTTATGCCATTAAATACTTCTGCCATCATATCTGTTGAAGGGCAGGCTGTGTAATAGAGAATCACAATAAAGCACCAACTTCCAGGGAGCAGAGCAATAAGCAGAACCAGTAAGCCTGGATTCAACTTCTGGTCTTTCACCTGCTAACTTTTCTTCCCTCCACCCAATAATTGTTCCAACTCCTCAGCATATGTTTTCATGTGCCAAAGGAAACCATGCATCCACACTTGGCTGTCCAGGTCACTTGTGCTGTCAGACCTGCTGCATTGAATATCCCTTTTCTGCTGGATTTTCCCCACATAGGAGGCACCATCCATAGTCTTTTTGCTGTTGAGATGCTAAGTTTTGAAAAATTCATTGGGATTTTTGCCTATTGTTTACCATAAATTGAAATTGGATTGAAATTAAAGATAGTGGATTTAAAAAAATAATTAAAGGACACATGAATAATGTGAAATTCCTTTTTTTGAAAATGTCACCTTCTTGAACTTTCTAAAAGAGAATAATGGTATTTTTCTTCTGTTATTTGTTTGGTTGGCTTTCTTTTTCCCTTAAATAGCTGATTTCTAATAAATGCATTTGTTTAAAACAATAATTGTCCTTGTAAACATTTTTAATAACCAAACTTTCATGAGGTCCTACCAAAGAATTTAAGACGATATGACAAACTTTAACATCTAATTATGATT